TGGTCCAAAAAATTAACTATAATGTTGCTTTTAAAGTTGTCGGACGTTTTCCAGCAAAAACTTCTCAAAATACCAAAAAATACCAACCAGATCAAAAAATACCAACCAGTTTAAGTACAAACGATGCCAACCAAAAAGAGTTATTTCTTATTGAATTGGATACAAATGAGCACCGCAACGATCTTTTATTTAATGCTAAGCGATTTGCTTTAGTAGATGAATTAAAATCTGTCTATATCCGCCCAGACCGTACACTTCTTGAACAAGAAACTTTCAACAGCCTAAACAAGAAGCGAGCTACTGAAAACGCAGAACTATTGGCAAAAGACTTACTTGACTAGCCCTTTCGATTTGTCATCCGCAGCGAAAAAATCAAATGCATTGATACATCCCGAACAGTCAATGTCAATAAAAGAGAGAGGAACCCATTTCTTATATGGAAATCAGCGGCTGAGGCCATTCAGTTGCTCTCAGCATTATCCTAGTTCAATCTCCCTCAATGCTGCAAACTCTTCAACTCATTTACCTTATCTCTCTTGCTTCTACACTAATACCACCTGTCTTAATCCATCAAAACTGATTGAACTCTGCTTACTTGCAAAAACCAATTTCTTCGATATTATTTTTATCACTGAAACATGATTTCCTAAAAAATCAACTCCCACTCTTTTAAATTATAACCTCTATCGATCAGACCGTCTCAACTAAAATGGAGGAGGTGTAGCCATCTACATAAACAACAAGCTCGTCTCAAACCAACTTGAAGATTCCCAACTATACAAAGATTTCATTTGCTACTATTCAGAACAACTGTGGATTGAACTAAAGCTTCCAAACGAAACTCTACTTTTAGGCTGTATTTACAGGCCTCCATTTTCTGGTACCAAAACCTTCTCTGAAATTTCCAATGCTATCTTTTATGCCGAAACAGCAATATTAACCAAAACATACAATGGCATCATTATTGCCGGTGACTTCAATTTCCCAGAGATTACTTGGACTTCCAATTCTGTTATCTCCTCTACCCAATATGATCTCAATTCATTGTTTATTTCTCTTATTTAAGATCATTATCTAGATCAAATCATCACTGCCCCAACTTTCAAACCTGCTCATCGTCCAATGACAAAAACTCTCGGTCTCATCATTTGCGACTCTTCTGATTGTGCTAATGAAATCAACACCGGTCCTCCACTCGGCTTGTCTGAACAGTATCATTGTTCCATCACTTGGCAATACAAACTGGCTTCAGGTGACAAATTGTCACATTTCAACAGCTCTAAATTCATTTACAAGCTTAGCAACTACAAAAAAATCAATGAAGAATTCAACAAAATTGACTGGTCATCTGTCTTTAAAAACTTAAAAGTGGAACAATGTTACCAGTTTTGACTCAACAAATACAATGAATGCTTTCTTCGATTTATCCCATGTATGCCAAACAAACCATATCGCAAAAAACAACCATGGATGACAAAATAACTTTTATCTCTGATTTGTCTTAAAAAGTCACTATTGGCCCGCAATGTCAGCTCAAAATGGAAAAATGTATCCCTGGTCCATGAATATAAATAAACAAGAAAGTTTGTCAAAAAATTTGCTCTGGCCAATGATAAGCGCAACCCAAAAAGACTTTTTTCATACATAAATAGTAAGCACTCTGTAATAAATCAGATCTCATCAATGCGGGTTACCAGTTTCAGTAAGATTAATAGCTCTGACAAAGTTACAATAGCCAACTCACTTAACAATCAATTTCAATCAGTTTTCAGCAAAGAGCTATCTGATGACAATTATCCTTTCTTTAGTCGTCGAACCAACCCAATCATCAACAGCATAACATTTGACTCTCAGGCTACTCTCCTGGAGCTCTCATCTCTTGATCCATCCAAATTGCTTGGTGTAGATAGCGTTAGTCCTTATGTCCTACGCTTGTGTTCTACTTCCATGACTACTCCACTTACCCTTATCTTTCAAAAGTCATTTGACAATGGTGAAATTCAAAGCTCGTGGTCTAAAGCAAAGGTAACGCCTTTGTTCAAGAAAGGCTCTCGAATCAATCCAGCAAAGTACAGACCAGTCTCCCTTACCTCAATCCCATGTAAAATAATGGAGAAACTTGTCAAAAAAGCGATCACAATGCATCTTAAATTGAACAGCTTTCTTTCAAATTGTCAACATGACTTTGTAAAGAAAAAGGCATGCGTCACAAATCTGCTTGAAACAATGGACTTTTTGACCGCGAACATAGCCAGAAAACTACCAGTTGATGTCGTATTCCTGAATTTTGCCAAAGCATTTGACAATGTACCACATCAACGGTTGCTCTATAAACTAAAAATGTATGGAATCAAAGGAAATCTTCTTATCCAAATTACTAACGATCTTAAAGTGGAGAGCCAATCCATCATCGCATCATGTAAAGCAAACCAAATGCTTGGTATTTTAAAACATACCTTCCAATGTCGTGATGCTTCTCTGTGGAAACAACTATACTCCA